CTTGCACTCACCCAACTCACCAGTCTCCTCTTCTCACGGGGGAATGCAGGTAGCACCCAGCCATGCCCTCTCCACCCCATCCATGTGGTCACCCAGTCACCTGTTCATTATTGTGTAACAATCTCAACATTTAGCGGCTTAAAAAAAAAGGCAAAGAAGTGGGGGGAGTGAGCAAATATTGAAAGAGTGGTGGGGACACGTCAAAAGAAGTCAGAAGGCAGCTTGAATGCACTCCCACTAGCCAAGTCTAGGACAATCTTAGGCTCCTATAGGCTCCTTACTAAATCATCATACAGAGTTATAACCTACGGAATAAAGTAGAAATCTGTGAGCCTCTACAGTGGAGACAAGCGAATGAATTAACGGGAAGGAGGCACAGCTCTTTCCGACTGAGGGAGTTAGCAGACTAGCAGACAGATGCAGAAGGAGGGAGGCAAGGAGACCCTTCTGCCAATCAGTGCGGACCTCAGGTGCTAAATCTAGTAAGCAAGAGCTTGTGGGAGTGATGGGGTATTTACCTAGTCTCAATGTCTACTGCACTTGTTTCTCATACACTTACTAATTACAAAGGGGGAAATGGGGACCTTAGAATAGAGAAATCTGGCAGACATCACCTTACTGAGGTAATCAAATTAACTTTGCCAGTAATCGGATACATTAAAATTAAATTGCAATTGTGTACTGTGTACCTCCCGATGTCATGCACTGAGAAGAACTCAGTGCTGCTATGCGCTTCCTGCTGGAAGTACACAACTTGAACCTAACTGTGAGGAAAAACCCAAACAGAGGGAAAGACTACAAAATGCTTACAGACCACAAATGAAGACTTGGAAATTGTACTAAACTAAGTGGTACCAAGGAAATACAGGAGCAAAATGCATACAGGATCTTTTGTGTGTGTGTGCTGGTGTCTCATTCTGTTGCCCCAGGGTAGAGTGCTAAGGTGTCACGGCTCACAGCAACCTCAAACTCTTTTTTTTTTTTTTTTTGAGACAGAGTTTCACTATGTCACCCTTGGTAGAGTGCTATGGTGGCACAGCTCACAGCAACCTCAAACTCTTGGGCTTAAGCAATTCTCTTGCCTTAGCCTCTCAAGTAGCTGGGACTATAGCTGGTGCCTGCCATAATGCCTGGCTATTTTTTGGTTGTAGTTGTCATTGTTGTTTGGTAGGCCCGGGCTGGAGTCTAACCTGCCAGCTCTGGTGTATGTGGCTGGTGTCCTAGCCGTTGAGCTATAGGCACTGAGCCAACCTTGGGTTCAAGAGATCCTTTTGCGTCACCTCCCAGGTAGCTGGGACTATAGGCACCCATCACAATGCCTGGCTAATTTTTGTATTTTTAGTAGAGATGGGCCCTGGCTTTGCTCAAACTGGTCTTGACCTCCTGAGCTCAGACACTTGGCCCACCTCAGCCTCCCAGAGTGGTAGGATTACAGGAGTGAGCCACCATGTCTGCCCAGCCCCTGCACAGGATCTTGACTATGTCCTGCTTTGGAGATATTTTTGGAACAATGGACAAAGTCTTGATGAGGCCTTAGATTAGCAAATAGTATTGTTTCAAAGTTAGTTTCTTTATGTAGACAATTGTACTGTTGTTATGTAAAAGAATTCCTTGTTTTGGGAAATAAACACTCAGGTATGTAGGGATGAAGGGGAATCTTCTGCACTTAAATGGTTCAGAAAGAAAAATAGGAATGGAGCAAGAAAAAAGAATAAAGCAAAGGCAACAGAATGGTGACATTTGGCAATGCCACTGAAGGACATACAAAAATTCTTTCTACTATTCTTGCAAATTTTCTATGAGGTTTCAAATTATGAAAA